CACTGCAGTACAATTGGTAAACTGTCGGGAACACTACTGCATTAAAATAAGGTTTGCTCTAAAGTTTGGTTTTAAAATAGGGGGAAATGTGGAATCTGAGCAATATGAATTGGCTTTATGGGAATTGACAGTTACAGCAGAGATAAGTATACTTCAAGAGAGGTAAGTAATGGTTGGTTTGTAGGTTGAGATTAACTGATCTGAGACTCTTAGTCTACATGTCATTTACATTCTCAACTTGTTTGTATGGAAGCAGATGGTGAGGAGAAGTATTTGTCAAATACGATATTTGTATGTGTTTGTATAACAGTGTTATTGGATAACACTTCATCACTTCTTCATCAGCATCTTCCAAACCTGCAAGTTCTTCTACTACTTAAGAGAACAAATGCAGCAGATGTGTGTGAGCACTGCTATCTGCATGTTCCTTTCAAGCTACATTCCATCTTGACTTGGAACTATAATCACCATTCTCTTACTGTTGTTGGGTCATAATCCTGCACACCCTTTACTTTCAACCCTGTGGGTATGTCTACACCACGTGGATTGCAGCAGTTCAAGACAGTGACTCACCACCACCACCACCTTGAGCTATTATGGATAATGACACATGGCGTATGAATTAGGAGCAGGAGTTAGCCACTTGGTCCCTCAAGCCTGCTGTGCCATTCAATAGATTATAGCTGACCTTATTGCTCCATATCTTCCCTGTCCCCAGGCTAACCAAGAATCTATCGATATCATGCCATAAAAATTCAAGAACTCTGGTTCCACTGCTTTTTGAGAAAGAGAATTCCAAAGACCCATGACCCTCTGAGGGGAAAAAAAAATTCTCTTTGGCTCTGTTTTCAATGATCTCCCCTTGTTTTTAAATGTAGCCCCATAGTTCTAGATTCTCCCATGAGAAAACATCCTCTCCACATGCATCCGTCAGGATCTTGCACATTTCAATCAAGTCTTACTCTTCTAAACTCCAATGGATACAGACCCAATCTGTCGTACATATAAAGACAACCCCCTCATTCCAGGTACCAGTCTATTAACCCTTCTCTGAATGGCTTCCAATGCATTTACATCCTTTTTTAAATAAGCAGGCCTGATACTGTACACAGTACCCCAGAAATAGTCTCACCAATGCCAGTGTAACTGAAACAAAATCTCTCTACGTTTGTATTTTGTTCCCTCGGCAATAATTGACATTCTATTAGCTTTCCTGATTATTTGCCATACCTGCATGGTAACCTTCTGCAACTCGAGCACTAAGACACCCAGATCCCTGTGCAATCTCAGAGCTCTGAATTTGTTCCTGTTTAGCTAATATTCTTCTTGCCAAAATGAATAATTTCACATTTCCCTACATTATACTTAGTTTGCTAGATCTTTGTCCACTTACTTAACCTACTACATTCCTTTGAAACCTTCCTATGTCCACTTCTCAACTTATTTTCCTACCTTCCTACAAATACAGGCTTTGCCAGCAACAGCCACATCCTCTGAAAGATTTTTTAAGAATGCCCTGGATTATTCCAAAAAATGGCGAATTTGTTCGCTAATGGCTAGCATGTCAATATGCCTCTTTCAAGTGTTTGTTTTGTTTTAAAACACGCACACTACACACAGAGCAAAGCCAGTGGGACTATTGGTGTGCTTCAGGAGAGTCTGTACTGCCAGCAGCTGAAATGATCTGTTGGGAAAATCCCTTTGAAATGCAGCCATGAGAAGAAGCGATTTCAGATGCAGTTTTTGAGAATGCGTGCAAACTGGACACAGATGTGAGGTTGTGGGAGGGAACTTTAATAAAAGCCTTCAAACTTTTCAAACTCACCTCATTTAAGAAAGGACCGTTGAAACTGGGCGTGGTCAAGTGTTACCTCTTGTATCCTCCCTCCCACCCTGCCCCGTGAAGAGTTTTCACAAAGCGATTGTGTCCATTTTGCTGTCAAGAGATCAGCAGTTTTGTTTCTTTCTGCTGTACCCTTGCCTTCTCAGATTGGTCCCTGGACAAGCAGCATATCAATGTTTCAGTTCGTGACCTTGTTTTCAAGTTTTTCCGTGTGCTTATGTTTGTAACCTCCTCCAACCCCATAATCCCGTAAGATATCTGCACCCATATAATTCTGGCCTCTTAAGCATTCCTGAATGTAATTGCTCTATCACTGGTGCCTGTGCTTTGAGCTGTCAAGGCCCTATGCCTCTGCAGTTCCTTCCTTAAAGCACTCACAGGTCTCTTCTTCTCTTTCATCCTTGGAGAAGCTACTCAATCTTGTCAAATCAAAAGATTTTGGGCCATTTATACAAAAGTTACCTTATGTGTCTTTGTCTAATTTTCTGCATAGTTCTCCTTTGAATGCTGTAATATGCTAAGGTGTGTATAAATGTAAGCTGTTATCAACAATCCACATTCGCTGCTGATGCGAAGCTAGCTGTGACCATGGCAGGTGGAATATAATGTGGCAAGTTATTCATTTTGGTTAGAAAACTAGAATGATATTTTAAATGGTGAGAGACTTGGAAATATTGGTATTCCGAGATGACCGAGTGTCCTTGTATGAGAATTACAGGAAATTGCTATGCAGGTACTGCAAACAATTAGGTAAGCAAGTGGTAGGTTAACTCTTTATTATATAGTAATACAAGTATCAGGATGAAGAACTCTTACTACTATCAGAATGAATCTTGGTGAGTGCCTGCCTTAGAGACGATTTACGCACATTAGGAGTACAACAGAGATTCACTAGGCTGATTGGCCTTTTAAAGGAGAGGTATATTAATTTTTTTTAAAAGTTGCATAATAGACTGAGAATGCGCTCAAGACCAAGAGCAATCTTGTTAGACTGTTAGACTGTGAGACTGAAAGGTCTGAAGTAAAAGCTGGGCATTGAAGTTGAGGCACAGAACAGTCATGATCAATTTAAACAGATCCAAGGAGCTGAATGGTTGGTATCTGTTCATATTTGTGGAATCCGGAAACCATCATCTCTTCCAATGGAAGTAGTCTGCCCTACAACCTACTGTTGTAGGTTAGATCTCAAACAATGACGAGACAGTACAGGAAGGAGATTGAATGCTTAGCGGCATGGTGTTAAGACAACAATCTCTCCGTCAATATCAGCAAAATGAAGGAGCTGGTCATTGACTTCAGGATGTGGAGTAAAGGGCACGCCCCTGTCTGCATCAGTGGTGCTGAAGTGGAGATGGTCGAGAACGTCAAGCTTCTGGGAGTGATGATCACCAACAATCTATCTTGGTCCACCCATGTTGATATGATGGTCAAGAAAGCACACTAACACTTCTACTTCCTCAGGAGGCTAGGGAAACTCGGCATGTCCACAAAGACACTTGGCAATTTCCATAGATACACCATTAAATGCATCCTATCTGAATGCATCAGTGTGGTATGGCAACTGCTCCTGCCCACAATCTGCCTGTATGGCATGCAAACATGCAAACAACAGTATTCACTGTATCTTGGTACATATGACACCAATAAGTCACACTCCAACTCAAGCTCTCACCCAGAGTGAACCAGGCTGCTATGGTGGCCACTTCTAGACTATGGTGCTAGCGTGGTGTAGACATTTCAAGTTACTGTACTTTGGGATGCCAGTGAATTTGAATCTAGTGAATCAGATTTCTGTTCTAGCTGTTGTGCTTGTGATTTGCTTGTAGTAGTTTGTTTTTGGTTAGTGCTGCTTGATTTTTTTTATTTAAACTGGACATGTATAGAGCTGTCTCAGGTGGGGAATTGCAGAATCATTTCAGAGCTCAAGAGTCAATTATGCAAATTTGTAATGATCAGAAATGGAAGAAAATGTTCCTGAGTCCTGAATTTTGAATTTTTTTGTTTTGAATTTGAGTTGTGGTTTTAAAAATGTTGTTCAAAAATTTGGCTGTGAAGGAACTGTTTCAGGTTTCCAATACCTGCGTCAGGTGATGGGCAGCTTGTTACTGAGTTAAGCTGCTCTCCAACTGTAGATGTGATGCTATATAGTGTACCATAGTAACCATTGTCTCTCCTGTGCCCACTGTCCTCACTGCGTGAGACTGTTTGTAGTTGGCAGATTTCTGGCCACTGTAAGCTGGCTCATTATTTTATACACAACCCTTGAATCCAGAAAAGAGAGAAGAGCTTCAGCTGGTTGGCCTGGACTGGACCAAAGCTCTCAACTGAAAAGACCCTATTTAAAACTGATGGCAACATCCAACCCTCCAACATCAAAGGAGTAAGGAAGTTTGAGAACTCATTGATGGCAGGTTAAGCGTTCCTAGTAAGTAGCTGATGCATACAGACCAAGGACGGTTTAGCCTTCCATTTGTGCTGAGTTGCTGATCAGGCGAAGGTAATGAGGTGTTGGAATTGGCTTAGAGGGCAAAATCAGTTAAAGACTCTGGCTACTATTAAGCATCTCCTACAGGGATTATGGGGATACAAACATCACAGGGGCAAAAACAAAGTTGCTGGAAAAGCTCAGCAGGTTTGGCAGCATCTGTGGAGGAGAAGAGAGAGTTAACGTTTCCGGTCCGATGACCCGTCCTCAGAACATCACAGGGGGTTCTGAGCGGAAGGTGGAGTTGTTTTGAGAACTAAAAGCAAATGTTGTATAAATTGCAGCTGGAAGCAGCAGAACTTGGAAGCATGAGAGTGTGATATTGTTGGTTTCTCGTATAAGCTGCTGCTGGTAGACCCTACTCACTTTTCACTGGAATAGAATGCAGAATGATGTGGTGTTGCGATAGTAAAGTACCATGTGGCTTTAGGGATGCGAAAGAAGCACTGTTTTGTTTTTGTGACTTTTAATAGCATACATAGTGAATGAGAAGGTCTAAAATGATGCGCTACTTCTCACAAATACACAGGCTGTAGTCTACCCTGTGCAATGAAGTATGTATAATCATACAAAGCATTTTATATCCTGCCCGGTTTGTTCTGTCTCATTTTGGATAATGTTTGAAAGTTGATATCTTTGTTTGATTTTTGTCTCCTCCATTATCTTTTGCAGACTACCAACTACGAACACAATGAAGGAAGATTGCACTTGAAGAGTCATTGGGACGGGAAGATCCAATTCAGTGGATTGTGTATAAGTGTTAGGTGTATTCATCATGTTTCAGGTCTCTGTCATAGAACATCTTTCATGAGGAAAATTCAACATTTCAACTGTGGAGCTGAAAAAAAAGGCAGTATTTTTCATTTTCCCCATACGTCCCTGTCATCGCCAAATCTTCCTCTTGCTTTTTGTCCCTTTTTGGATAGTAATTCTTTCTTTCTTAACTTGTTTCTCTCAACCCTTGGGCAAGTTAAACTGCTGGGCTGAACTTGGAGTGCTCCCGAAGGTTTGAGCGTTGTTGTTGCTTAGCAGTTGTATTTTGATGCGAGTGGGAATTTCTCTTTTTGGGCTACAATTGTGTTTTGTCTTGTCTTGTCTCATTCTCCAAACAGTGTCAAATGAATGTGAAACTAACTAATGGTCATAATGCACTCCAAGCTGACCTCAATTGCCATCTCCCATACCACCACCACCCTCCCCACTTAATTATGAAAAAGCATTTGCAAAACCACAAAGAATACATTGCTCTCCTCGCAAGTACAATATGCATTCCAAGATTTGTCCAATTTATATGTTTTCCTTTTTGATACAAATGTAACTCCATATTCAGCATGAAGTCAGGTGGTAGGTTCCAATGCCACAGGGTGTTTGCTCTGATCTGGGTGATTTATCAGCTGGTGCTGCCGTCCCACAGTTTCCCACACATCACAGCCCATTCCGACCAGCAGATGCAAGTTGGAACTCCCCTGCAGTCTGACATATTTTCCCCCTGCATTCTGCTTGAGCCAAACTGCGTGGCACAGGTCAGACCCAGTTTTTTTTTCGATGCTTTGCTCTCACTGCCAGTTTGAACTATAAGTGGGCTAAGTCTTCACTGACTAGTCAGTGCACTGCTCCTCTTGATGATGTGTGTCTCTTGCTGATTCTCCCTCTTGTTTCACCCCTGCTGATCTCACATCCATGCTGCCCGTCACATCCACCAGTCAGTATGAATTTTCAGTCTGCCGTACGAGCATTGTATCTGTTACAGTTCATTGATTTTACTTTTAAAGGAGGGAAATATTGGATTTTTTAAAGTTTTGCTGTTTAAAAATATGAGAAGAACTGCCATGTAGCAGCACTTAGTAATCAGGCCAACACAGACTAGAGCACTGGGCTGTTTCCTATTACAGACCAGTCACAGATCTAAACCAAAGCTGATCGGGCCCTCAAACTGCAGGGAATGTAGGGCTGGTTCAGATAACAGGTTGCTTCAAGAAAATGTGCTCTTAAAATGTTAACTTTTTTTATGCAGCTGTTATGTTTGAATATGTGTATGTAATGCTGTGTGAAATTTCTAAAGACCAGTATTAGAATGAGTGCTGATGAACTGCAGATCTAATATGGTTCTTGGTTGGCCAGAATTATTTATTTCTGGGCCAGACTGATATATTCATTGCCATTATGACAGTGTAAATAGTCCTGTTGCTACCTGCTACACCATGCTGCAACAATCTATAGTAAAAATGTTTCTGAAACCGTATGTGGTGGAGTTAACCCAAGAGGGGCCAACCACATGAGTTGCCTGTGTAATATGATTCTATGCCACAGGAAGCGTCAGCTATTAAGGGTATAATACCACCTTGCTAGGGTGCATTGATTAAAGACATCATGTGCTACTAGGGGAAACAGAATGGATGATCCCTGATTTGATCCTTGATTTTTGCTGAATTATCTGAATTTGACCGAGACCGCAGTGGTGGTGTTCCATCTGTTTAAAAAAACACTGCTACAAACTACACATACTTGGCCCTTAAAATGCAGATTGGCTAGGTTTGGACTCAGCTGTGATTCCATCTATGGTTGAATATTCAGTCTCTCTCTCACACTCTCATTCACACTGACACACAGACAGACATACACATACAAGCACTCTGCTGCCATTCTGGTGAGATAAATATACCTTCTTACATAGGTTGGTGCACCAGTGACATTTTGCTGTTTGGGGAAGATCTCATAGTACAGTGGTGGTGTCCCTACCTTTGAGCAAGAAGGCCCATGTTCAAGTCCCACCTGCTCCTGTGTTTCAAAAAAACATCTGAACAGGTCGATTAAACATATCTTAATGCTGTCTGCATGTGGAACCCTAGCCCTACTGAATGCTCATCACATACCCTAGTTAGTGCTTAGTCAAAGCAAGTGAGGCATTTCAGTTGGGTTCTTGTCCTGTTCTGTGTTAATTATGACTCTGAAACTGGTCGGTCACTGTGCCACATACGCTGGTATTGATTTGTGCTAGATCCCACACCACAGCAGCAGACAACAGGGAATGTTCTGAACTGGACCTCACAGCTTAAATGGGAAAGTAAGCCAGCAGCATTTTATCATGTACGGCTGAGGAAATACAGGGTGTCTGCAATATCAGCTCAATACGTGAGCTTCACATGATGATGTCCTCTAAACCACATTTATTTCTTCCCTCGAACAGTTCACTGTAAAGACATTAGCCTGTGAATTTACTGCGGAGGTTCTTTTGTAGGACAGTAGCCCATGAGCGCCATTATTCTGGGGTTGCTGCCAACTTCCCACATCAGAAAAATGTCTGAGAGGCTTAAGGTCAATGACCCTGACCCGTATAGAGAAGCATGGTCTGTGCATTGACCCCCTCAGTACATGAGTTAGCTCATCTCAGCCAGGACCAGAATACAGGGAATAGAATTGACAACAGTGCGCCTGTGTTGAGCAAACAGAGAGGGAGAAATCCAGACAGACTGCTCATTAGGGAATGGTCCTGCTGGAAGTGTGGTTGTGTGTGGGTGCTGTGATATTATCACGTTCTCCACAAGTCATGTATTGTTCGTTGCTGCTTTCAAAACTGACCACTTGGCTGCTGGAGTGATTTACTGGAACAGCCTGTAACTGGAGTTTTAACCTTGCAACAGCATCATTGTTTTCAGGAGAATTGGAAAAGGCAGCACTTAATCTTCTAACTGAGCATGGCATTTTGTAGTTATGTAAAGTACGGTATTTGAAATGATTAATGAGTAGAGCACCAGCATATGCGTCACAGTGGGTATGGCTTCAGGCATCGGTTCCACCATTGCCAAGTTACTATTTGTAGCCTCTCTGATCATTGGACAAGATCACCTGAAGGGCAGCTTGGCTGTTTAAACTACTACCTAACAACCAACAGTGGGAGTACATTGCATGTCAAGGATGATGCATACTGTGGGAAGGACCAATGAAAGGAAATGAGTTTAAAAAGGAGAGGTGTAATTATCTTTTAGCCAAATCTTTTGGTGTGAAGAATCAAAGAAAATCGGGTTAGTTTTTTTTTTAAATACATTCCTCTGATGATTTGAACTTAACCATTGGCAAGTGGGGTTTATTCGTATTGCTGAATGATTTAAAACAACACACTGTCCTTGGAAAGTTCTAATTATTTATAAACATAACTTTCTGAAAGACAGAGGAATATACTTAATTTGCCAGTGTGTGAAATCTTAAATCTTCCCTCTTGGGCCTTCATCTCGCTTTGAGCAGAAAAAGTTTCCAAGGTAGCAGGATCTGCTTCAGAGCTAGTTTGCATTGAGGAAGATTGCCTTTTCTCACTTCTGTTTTTGTGTGTTTGAAGTGACCATCTCACGTTGTTATTCACTGATTGAGAATTGTGCTCATGCTGTAGCTGTTCTTTACTGAGTGAACCGAACAGCAGAGGACCTTGCTCTAAAGGAGTTGGGGATTTACGTGAGCAAGTGCAGCACTCTCCTTACAGAAGGCTTCTTAAAATGAACATGTCTAAAAGTAGGTACAACACAGGGAGTTGTTCATTTTGAGCAGTCTGCTTGAAACATTGGAATATTTCAAACTAGCTTTTACATGATCACCCTGATGTTTCTGATTTTTTTTTAAAGGAAATGCGTTGACAAACATCAGAATTCATTTTTGAATCATATAATTTTAATTCTGAAATAATTTTTATTTAAAGCATTCTTTAGAGGGTTGTGAATTCCAAGGATACATAAATCCCAAACTGTGCTAACTTAAAATGTGCCAAAGCTGCAAATTGAGGACTGCACAGTCAGGGGAACGATTAGCCAGCATTACAGCTCCTGTTTTCTCTCTTCTAAGACTCCTGGTGCAGTCTGCATGCATAGCCATCTGTTGTGCTTCTGAGTAAACTCTGTGACAGTAGCCCTCCTCCAACATCCAGTAGCCAATCAGCATGGTATGCCAAGCTTTGTGTACAAGCATTAGCATCTTGAATATGGTGAGAGAGAGAACCCAACACTCCATTGCTGCTTTCTGATGAAGGGGGCATAAAAATCAGGGAGAAATTGGAGTTATTGTCCATAAGGTGAAGTCAGAAACTGTACTTGACATTTCACATAAGCTGAATTTGATTTTGTTAGCTCAGTTTGGGGTTGTTATCTCTGAATTCCAACATGGAAGAGAGAAAGAGAGAGATTTGGAGGAGTGGGGGCTGAGTCTTTCAGGCTGTGATCTCCAAAGATGGACATTGCACTCTTAAGATTTCTCCAGCTTTAGTTTCTGCTTTCTCTGATGAAGCCATGTGGTGTACAGTGTTCAATCTTGTCTCAAAGAGCTGTGACATATAATTTTGTGAATTGTAGTGTCAGAATGTGAGCAATGTATTCATGTCTCGTGAATATTTTCAAAACATTACCTTGTGCACCGGTTTCATACAGCAAGACCTCTTGTGAGGAATGCCTGTCCTTTGGAGGACACGACCTTATTTAGAAAGCTATTCAGATCGTAAGCATGTTTAATTGGAGCAGCTTCAATTCTTGACATCCCTTTGTGTGAGGAAAATGAAACTCACCAATGGCACAAAGAATCATTCAGGAGTTTGACTTGGTTGTGCTGTCTAAGAAATGCCAGTGCATCATGTTCAGTGTATTGGGCTCTGGTTTGGGTGTGCTGTTAGCTTCGTAGTTTGAGGAGAATTTGGCTGGCTCCAGAGGAGATCTAATCTTCAGTGTGTTGTTATCATAAAACGGTTCAGTTGGCACGAACACCAATGGATGTTGTTCATTAGATTTCAAAAACTTCCTTTCTCTGCCTGTTTATCAACTGATGTTGAGTTCATTCACCTTATTCTTTGCATCGTCAATAAAAAAAAGTCACGAAATCATCTGTGTTTGTGTGTTTTATGTACAAATTATAGATAAGTTGCACCAACCCATAACACTGCCCACGTCTTGAGCATATTGATATAGTAGACTTGTGATAAATTCATAGTAATGTGATAATGAACATGGATTACTACATGGAGTACAAATAATACTGAAAGTATATGGTGTGATCAACAACAACATTATATGTATAGAAACATGTAAAACTTATACATTTTTCTCTTCTATTTAATAATAGAGTAGTTTAAGAATTCACAGAATTTTTCATATCCATTGCCTTTCATTTGGGCTCCTCTCAGTGACTCAGGAATGATTTATCAAAATAGTCCCATCAAAATGGCTTCCATGTTTCCTATTTTTAATATACAGCATTTGCTGTAAAGCAGAATGAGATGGCCTTTCCTTTGAGTTAGCCAATTTTGTGCCAAATGCAAGTCAATTTTTAATGATGAACTTGTTGCCCTTCACTTCAGATGCCAGACACCATACAAATTGCTTTCTCCTAGTGATGTTAGATGTCTGAGAGAAAGTGCTTTCAGGCTTATCTGATTAGCTTAACTCTCAGAATGGAAGACACCCAAGATGAATCTAATCCTGGGCTGGGAATGTTTTCCATTTGAAAAGAGATGAATGCAGTTCCCTGACATCGCATCTGTTGTCAGATGATGGGATTTAAGCAAATAATGTTGATGTCACTGCAGCATCTGAAATCATACAGCAGATACCATCCACTTATTGAGCCAGTCTCAGTCAAAGTATTTAAGGAAGAGAGGTGAATGCAAATGAGATATTTTGCAGTATTGGTATTGACTCAGAATAGCAGATTCCCACAGGTCTCTGAGGCAGAACCTTTATTTTCGGGTTCAGCCTGGTGGACATAGCATATTACATAGGCTGACGTTTCCAGGGAGTACTGCCTTGTCACAATGCAATGTTAAAAACCAAATTTAGAAGATCTTGTGGCACAATGTTAGAGTAGGAGCGTTAGCGTTTGGTATGAGTCTGATGTCTGGATCATAATTATCCCTCAACCAACAAATTAAAAACTGATCATTATTGCATTGCTGCTTGTGCCACTTTTGTGTGTACAAATTAGTTGCTGTATATTTAAAACTGATGTATTGACTGTGGCGAGTTATCCCCAGGCCAGCATCTATCCAATACCTGGGGTCATTTCTCTGACTCCAGTGCTCGTGCACTTTCTGATAGTGTAGGCCATGGCTATGTCTCCATTAATTAGGGCCCGTTCCTTTCCAAATGTTCTATTCTCTCTCATATTAAGTCTGTGGTTCAGACAGAGCAGTTGGCTAGTACCATCCAGAAACATGTTGAGAGGAGGGTGAGTAGTGTTGGGTATTGCTTAATAAATAAATCAAAAATCTCAGTTATAACCTAACATTGTTGGATCTGAACAGTTTTTAAAAAATCTTGAATATATTGTCAGCCATTTACTTCTAACATTTACTGTGACCAGTGTGGTGTTGTGGGTGATCCTGCTGATGAGAAGTGGGTAAGAACGGAGCCATCCTGCAGCTAAGTGAAGGTTTTGGGAAGACCAATAGAGCAGCAGTAGTGGGCACCCTTTGAAATGCTGCACACTCCGTGGTCAGAATCCCCTTCTCTCAATGAGAATAAAGGCCTGAATAATCCCTTTAACAGTGCAATATGAAAATAATGTAAAAATATTTTAATAACTAAGGAATTATTAAAAAGACACTTCACAAAGACCGTTGAGTTATTGTCAAGAACAGGGCCATTGTTATGACAACAACTGCTCTTTGGTATAGTGGCTACAGATTACAGAAATCTTTGATGCCTTGCAGCCCTCCTTTCCAATACACATGGCTTGCAAATGATTCCTGCAGCTGTGACGTGTAATATGGCATGTTTAAAATGAGAGCAAACTCCTGTGGATGCTGGAAAATAAAATAAAGCCAAGAAACGCTGGGAACACTAGCAGTGTCTAGGAAGAGAGAGATAGAGTTAGTTTCAAACCTTTTGTTAGAATTGTGGGAAGTTTGGGGGTGAGGTGAGTGTGATGTTAACGAGTCCATGTAAATTTGAAGTCAACAGGAATAATGGGGTGTCAACTGTCTACTGACCACGCATGTACTTTGTACCAAGGAATATGGTTGTGGCTGTTCAAGGTCAGTCATCTCAGCTCCAGGATAGCTCCACATGATTTCCTCAGGGTAGTGCCCTAGGCCTAATCATTACCTGCTTTATCAATGATCGTCACACCACCATAAGGTTTGGAGTGGGACTATTCTTTGATGGCTGCAAGTAACGTTTGCACCAGGCAGTACCCATTTTCAAAAGAATCTAACACGCCTTGACTTTAAATAGCATCACCATCACAGAGTTCCCTCCTATCAATATCCTGGGGGTTACCGTTGACCAGAAACTAAACTGGATTGGCAATATAAATACTATGATTGCAAGAGAGGGTTAGAAGGTGAGAATTTTATAAGCAACATCTGACCTCCCAAAAGAACATCCTCCATCCACAACACATAAACCAGGAGTGTGATGGAATACTTCCCACTTGCCTGGATGCGTGTAGCTCCAACAATACTCAAGAAGGTTGGTACCATCCAGGACAAGGCAGCCTGCTTGATTGGTACCCTATTACCATCAACATCCATCCCCTCCACTGCTGATGCAGGAGCAGCAATGTGTACTGCCTACAGGATTCACTGCAGTACCTCACCAAAGCTTCCTCGACCCATATCTCCCAAATCCGTGACCTCTGCTGTCTAGAGGATTACAAACAGAAGATATTTGGAAACATTGCCACCTGAAAATTGCCAGCAAGTCACATAATATCCCTCACCCAGTCTCATTCGGAGAAATCCTACAACTCCCTGCCTAGCAGCACTTTGGATCTGCAGAGCTTCAAGAAGGCAGCTCATCATCACCACCACCTTCCAAGGACCTTTAGGAAGGGGGATATATGCTGACCCAGCCATTGGTGCTCATCCCATAACTCAATAAAACCAAAGTTTTTCTTTTAAGCAGCCACAAAGGCAAGGACTGGAGATGGGTTGGAGAGGGAGAAGAAAGATTGATGAAAGGTCAATGAAAGGGTGGAAGACATGGATTTATAAGTATGACAGTGCAAGATAAAAAGGCTTGGTAATGGGCAATAAGCAAACAACAGATGGTTGAGTGAATATTTTCTAATCCATTCAGAAATGTTATTATACACCTCTGGAGCTGGCCCAGATGTAGTGCCACAAGAGCCCCTCTGTGGATCTGTAAGTGGTAAACAACGTGAAAGACATCAGCTGCTGTTCAAAAAGTGGTTAGAATCCCTACAGTGTGGAAACAGGCCATTCAGCCCATCACATCCATACCACCCTCCGCAAAGCATCCCACCCATGCGCACACCCCTACCCTGTCCCTGTAACCTGCATTTCCCATGGTTAATCCACCTAACCTGAACATCCCTGGACACTAGGTGCAGTTTATCATAGCCAATCTACCTCACCTGCACATCTGTGGACTGTGGGAGGAAACCCACGCGGACACAGAAAACATGCAAACTCCCCACAGTCACCTGAGGTTGGAATCAAGTCTGGGTCCCTGGTGCTGAGGCCCCAGTGCTAACCACTGAGACAGTGTGTCGCCCCAGAATCTGGAGGAATGGAAGTCAGTATGGAAATCAGTGCAAGGAAGTGGAAACACAGTAGGTGTGGGAGGCAGTGGGTTTAATATTGCGTAGGGTTCAATGAAATAGCGCAGAATGATCAGGGCCAGTCTAATGTGTGTTGAAACTTGAGAATATTTCTCAATTCTTGGAATGGTGATGTTTGCTGTTCTTCAATAACTTGTTTTCCGTGTTTGTGATCCAACATGTTGGGGAACGAATGCATTTTGGGGCTGCTTCCTCAGAGTGGGCTGTTGAATATTGTCAAGGCAATCAACCAGGGCGGAAGTGATGAGTATCACCTTGGCCAGCTTCGGATGGAGAGAGACGATGCTAAGCTTCCTGCACTGGTCACACACAATCTTGTGTGAATTGCCATGAATTCAAATCTTTACTGAGGTCACAAAGTGTAGGTTTTTCCCAGTTGATGGTGAGTGAGTTCCAGTGGTCACCAACAAACAGTAACTGGATTAGGACCAGTGCTAAACTTGCGATGAACAATTCAGAGACTCACACAGGTGGAAGTCTCACAGGGACAAGTACTTGCCAGCTGGTTTCCCTTATTCACTGTCCACTCCAACTTCATTCCAGAAATTTCTCACTGCTGATCCCACGAATGTGCGACTATGTCCTGAACCTCACCCAAAAGACCAATATCTAATTGATCAGTCATCACAGGAAGTGACAAATGGGTATTTAACTCCTTGGCTGTCACAGCTGAGCTGATTCTCTCTTCACCCACTGTGTGTGTGTAGACACTTCACAACAGGGATCATTAGATAGTTCAAGAGCTGTCTGAGATCTTGCTGAATTTGGTAGTGTACTTTTCTAACCATTAGCCTGAGCTGCAGTTGATTAACTCATTGAAAACCAATTATCACAGCAGTAACTCCGCTGTGTGGTTTAGCAGTGTGCAATCACCCACAATTGCTTTGCTATGAATTTGATTATCATCTAAGGTAAGTCATAGAGTCATAGAAATATACAGACTGGAAACAGACCCTTTGGTCCAACTTATCCATGTCTACCAGATTTCCTAAGTAAATCTAGTCCCATTTGCCAGCAGTTGGCCCGTATCCCTAAAAACCCTTCCTATTCATGTACCCATCCAGTTGCCTTTTAAATGTTGTAATTGTACCAGGCTCCACCACTTCCTCTGGCAGCTCATTCCATACATGCACCACCCTCTGTGTGAAAGAGTTGCCCCTTGAGTCCCTTTTTTATATCTTTCCCCTCTCACCTTAAACCTATGTTGTCTAGTTTTGTACTCCCCCACCCTGGGGAAAAGACCTTGCCTATTTACTCTATCCATGCCCCTCATGATTTTATAAACCTCTATAAGGTCAC